GGCCTAAATAATAACCAATACTATTTTGGGGGTTCCCGATTATGATTATAGTGTAAGTTACCCCAGACCCTATTCTAATTTTTAAGGCCCCTCTCTTCGGCTTTCTGTAGGGTTTAGGGTTTAGGGCTTTGTGGGTTTATGGTTCCAGGTGTACTGCGAGGCTCACAGAAACGGGATGTCCGAACCGGGGGTCCGCAGTTCTGTAAGGGCAAGCGGAATAATTGCAAATCTTATTCCTAGGGTTCTTTATTGTACTTAAGCCATAATGCTTCACCCGCAGCCTTAGTCTAATTTTTTGAGGCCCCTATACTACTTACGCATTGCAAGTTTTGTTTATGCAGTAATATAGGAACCTGATGAAGAAACCCTGGTCCTATAGCCCTCAATATATTTAGGGTTCATATAAAGAACCCCTAACAAGGGCCCAAGGTTTCAGAAGCCCTAAACCCTAAACCCTAAACCCTAAACCCTAAACCCTAAACCGTTCCTACACTACAGGTAGGCAGTTTGAATGTCCGTCGGCGAAGAACTGCCTGTCCGAGGGTTCAGGGAGGGCATCAGGCTTGGAGATGGGGGGGCTTAATGGGTTTAGGGTTTAGGGTTTAGGGTTTAGGGTTTAGGGTTTAGGGAGGCCTTTGGGACATTTTATATTTTCCCTTGTTGGGCATAAGAGGATCTTATTTACGAATATTTTTCAGAGGCTTTGAGGGGCCAACCTAGTAATATAGGGGCCCAAAAATTAAAACAGGGGCTCCGCATTATACTTATGATATTATGGGTTAAAATACCCACCCAAAACCCTATTCCAATTATTAAGGCCTCTATATTAGACGTTGGCGGCCGGTTCTGGAACTCTGGCTGTTCCACTTTAAGGTTGAGCGCGAGTGAAAGCCGTAAACGTTAATCATCCCCGAAGCCCTGAAATCCCAAACCTTCAAAACAAAACCCTACAACCCTTAATCCCTAAGCCCCCAATCCTAAACCCTAAACCCTACACCCCCAAGCCCCTCCACCCCGAAGTTTAAGCCAGGTTTTTTGAGAATCTTCCCGAGTCTGGCAGGAAGCGTGACATCCTGGCTGCGTGGAGACATGCTGTGGAGCCCAAGGTTAGGGGACCCGGAGAGTTGGAGAGTTTTGGGGCTTTAGGGTTTAGGGCTTAGGATTTAGGGTATAGGGGCCTACATAATTACCAACATTACTTTGGAGGTTCCTGACTATAACTATATTTGAATATGCCTCCAAACCCTGTTCTACTAGGGTTTTGGGGCAGTTAGGGAGGGGTTCAGGTAGTAGGGCTTATGGTACTGGGTCTGTGATTTGGGGAAAAGGGCACGAGGGTTCAGGGTTTCAGGGTTTAGGGGCATAGAATTGGGGCTTAGTCTAGGAAATTTTCAGGTGGGTAGTTACCGTTATAGGAGCCTTATAGAAGGTCTATATACCTTATAGAAGCCTTGTATACCCCAAACTCCCCGCCTGTAGTTTCCTTTAGCTTAGAGTATAGGGTTGATGGGGTATTTCGGATTCGCAGGGTTTAGGGTTGAGGTTTTAGGGTTTAGGGTGCAGGGTTTAGGGTTTAGCATTTAGAGTTTAGGGTTTAGAGTTT